ATGTTGTTCTTACCAAGGTAATAACTGAGATCTGGGAACACAGTGAAGTCTAGGGCAGGAAACATGAGCAATCAAAAGAATAGAGACATTTTAAACAAACCCCCAGTTAGTCAGCCTTGTTAGTTTTATCATAAGAGATGGAAACGATGGACAAAACCACACAATAAAAAGTTGTTTGATAGAACATGCATATATGGTGGATTGTACTCACTATATAGTGCAGTCTTACATCGCCCTTGAAGAGCAGTTTGCCAGGAGTTCGCAGTAGGTGCCCAATTGATGTGATTTTTAAAATACATCTTATATCTATCATCAGAAATGGAATATGGGTGCCCAGTTAGCTCAGTGGGTAGAGCTGGCGACCCATGTACCAAGGCTTGAGTCCCTTGCTGCAGCGGCACAGGGTTTCCGAATCCGACCTGTGGCAATCCCCTCTCCTCTGCCCCCCTTTCCCTGTCTGTCTCCAGCTGTCGCTATCAAATAAAGGCATAAAAGCCGAAAAAAATATACTTAAAAAAAAAAAAAGAAATGGAATATAATATTCATAGCTATGTTTTCATTAGTGTATAATCACCTAAATATAAGAATCATTGTGTTTTGGTTACCTTAGAATCAGATGTTTTTATCTATAGATGGAGCAAGAAACCTTCCATGGAGGCCACCATGTTGAACCGCCATGTTTCCTCAGTATCCAAGAACTAACAAACCAAACACTGGCTGTAGATAAGGGCATTCATGTTTTTCATGCGTTCTGCTGCCACTATAGTTTTTCCTTTGTGCTTGGAAGGGGAGGGTGAAGCGAGGGAGGGATCTGCAACTACACCGATAGAGGGTATTAAATCCTACATACTGGACCATTAAAATTTTCGTAATATCTATCTTGTTGGGATTTGTACCATACAAACATTTCTTTCTTTTTTTTGCCAGTATGGATGTAAAATAGGTCTTAAATTGCAAAAATGGTCTTTAAAAGGTCATAAGTCTTACTTTTAACCTGTTGAACCCTGTTTTAGCTCAGTTTTAACAAATTATTATTCATACTTATTTCTATCATTATTACTAAAAAGCCTTCAAGTTGAGCCCCAGCTGACAAACAATCTGCAGTTTGTCTTCTAAAGGTTAAGTTGACACGATAGATGAAACCTGACAGAAACGGGACCTGAGAAGCTTCTTTGTCTGACTTGTTTTGTGCTTTCAAGTCCCCAGAGGCAGATTGGGGAGAGGTGTGTGTGTGTGTGT